TAATACACTTTTCACAATATTTATCAGAGTATCTTGTCGTTTTACAATTATTGCATTCTCTTGGTTCACCCCATTTATTAGTTGCATTATGGATTTCAAAATAATAAATAAACTTTTCTCTACAAAATTCCTTTTCATTTTCTAATAATTTTTTGTTTTCATTAACTAATTGTAAAAAATAACTTTTTCTATTTTCTCCATCAGAAACAAATGGAAAAGCAGAATGAGCAATATCACTCATTTCATTATAAATTCTAAGTACTAAATCTACTCTGTCTTGTGTTAATAGCCTAACGAAGGACATTTTAATTTTTAATATTTATTTTTTTTAGTTTCTTTTTTTTTGCAAATCTAAATTTTTTTGTTTTCGTGTCCCTATTAAGTGCTTAACTTTACCCAATTGTTTCTTGCTTGTATGTTATCTCGAATTTCTTTAATTTTTCTCAAGTAAAAATATTGAATATAGTATGAATACTCTTTTTACATACAATGAATCTTTGGTTCATTTTTTAATTGAGAGTCCATTTTTTCCTTGTTTCATTCTGTTAATTGAATCTTTAAGGTATTGATTTCGAATTCAGTTAAAACTTTATACATTATTATCCATCCTCATTATCTTCAGATCCTTTGATTCGGGACTTTAAATAATGAATTAGTTTCAGAACCAAGTAATTAATTGCTTCAAGAAGAATTTAATAATAATAATAATAATAATAAATTTATTATAACCAATTCAAGGCTCTAGATAGACTTGCCTCTATTGTTATTGAACTCCCGATTTTTCAATTGTTGTTTTTTATCAAGAATTTCATCACCTATGTAAAAATTATTGATTTATTGAGACAGCGAGTTGCTAGACTTGATGAAAATACTTAATTAAAACAGATCATAGAAGAAATTGCTGGACTTAGGATCGAAATACAAAGTTAAACAAGTTGTCGTTGAGAAAATCAATAAACAGAATCAAGGTGTTACTAATGTACAGATTGCACTTTCTATGAAAGATCCTTTGTATTTCTGAGAGAGAAACAGGGAAAAGAAGGTTCGAACTCAAGAGGCTCTCTTAACTTTTCAGGATACACCTTCTATTGAGCAAATGCTTATCGATCAGAACGAGAATCAGAATATTTCAGAAGCGTCTATTAATATTAATTAGACACAAAGTGTCATTTTTTCCGAAATAAAAATTCCTATAATCAAAAATTAGAACAAGGTTTAATGCATAAGTTATCTGTATTTATTAACAAGAAAAGCGTTCCAAATTCTATATCTATAAACAAATTTCTGAGAATGTGCTAGACGAAATTTAGTTCATTTATTTGACAAGGCTAAAAAATTGGACAGAAAGAAATTTTGCATTGTATTGTTATATTGAAGAATTCGAAAAAAAGGTCAGGGATGAAATCTTCCTGGTATCAAGAGAAAGTATTCGCGTAAGAAGATTCAAAGGCTAGAAATATTTATAGATTGTTTAAAGAGTTTCATCTAAACTGTTTTTTTCATTAGGTTCAATTAATACTTCAAAAGATGCTGTTCTTTTTTCTAACTCTTGCTAAGTAGGAATAAAATCAAGCGAGTTACATATAATCTTGATACTATTGCTAGTTTAATAGGTGCACAAATTCACATAATAAACATTTTTACTGAATCAGATATAGATATTCTTATCCTTCTTTTACAAAATGTCAAAAAAAGTTAGAACAATGGAGAACAAAGATTGCTTTTAAATTGTGGGACAATTCTAACTACCGGTGATGTTAATATTAACCGTATGTAAATGTGTTTTAATGTTGATGTTCCACATGGAACGAATAATTGATGATTCTTCTGTTTTTTTAATCCCAATTCTCGCCTTAAACTGAATACAGAAAAACTTTTTTTAAAAACAAAATGTGAACATATATGTATAAAGGTTTGAAATGAGCCCGTGTGATTTTTCTGTTCAAATAATTTTTTATCACAACGAGTTCAATCTTCTCACCTTTTGTTTGTCAATAAAGCAACGGAGTCTACATTGAGAATGGGGATTTAAGCAAATTATATTCAAAGGATTCGTGGGCCCGGATTCTTTAGTATCGACATTTGACACCAACACGATGCTTCGAACCACGAGAAGGTTTGTGGCGAAGGATGTGTACGCGTGTTATTAATAAACAATAGGTTTGTGTGATTGATTGATATGTTAAGAAATAAAAAACTATCAGTGTTGTTGCTGGCTTTATTAAGATGCTAACTAGGAATTTCGTGATAACAAATATCTCGGTCTCATCTGAACCATAACAATAGAAAAAAGACACCACTGTCAACCAATTGAAATGGGGTAATCGAAATGGGTTAAACAATTTGCGATGATGATTAATGCTTTCTTATCTTCGATCTGCCTGAGCGTGAGCTTAAAGGTAAACAACCACTATTCAAACCGTTTGTGTTCTTGAGTTTTTCTTTATTCTTTGTTCTTTGTCGTCGTTCAATAATTTTTGTTTTTCATTTTTTTATTTTTTTTTAATGTATGATTAAAAAATAAAAAATTCTTATTTATCTGATCGTACAGCTTCAGCAATCAATTTCTTATTAATAATTAGTATTATTAATAAAATCTTTATGATTGATTCACCATGTAACATAAAATTGAAAAAATTTTCTGCATAAATTGATTTGAATGGCTAGATGATAATTTGCAAATCTGGCATTTTCCCTGCTGTAAAGTGAATGGTCGTATAGCGATTTCCAACAAAATAATCTAAGATTCTGTAAAACCTGAGGGGATATGTCTCCTTCGGTGTTGTTGGTGAAACGGCTGTTTTATTGTAGCAACCTTATATTTTCTAGAGAATGATGTTTCAAAATTAATCAAGGATTTTTAGACATCATGGTTTGTAAATAATTTACATTTATCTTTATCATTCATTATTATTGAGTGATATTAATATTTATCCACAGGCTTATATAGAATAATTATATTGGATAAAGATTTTACTATAGTTCAAAAGGAGCATATAGAGAATCTCTTATACAATGTATTGGAAATTGTAACTGGAAATGCTGGTAAAACAGATCGGGATACTTAAATTATTAATCCATTATTATTTATTATTCATAAATATTAAATATATAACAAGACACAATTGTCTATCTATTATTATCACCATATCGTTATTATAATAACTTATTCAATACAATATATCATTAAATATTATTCATATTATTATTCTATATACCCTTATCAATTATTAATTAGTCGTTTCTATATTTTTGTTTACTGATGTTATCCTAATGGAATACAGTAAATAAGATAACTACAGGAAATGACAAAAACAAAAACAAATTGCCATATATATCTTATCTTTATTATTAATGAGTGTTATTGGTAACCTTAGAAACATACAGATTTATTAACTCTCAAGGAAATAGAAATTAATTTTAATCTTACCTTTTATTTTAAATTCTTCAAGTTTACTCGAAAATAAGCATCAAAATCATCTATAAAAATGCAAAAGTTTTACATCTTACTAATGATCTATTCAAATTCTTGATTGACATCACTTGCGAATCCTGTTTTATTTCCAACCATCTCTTTGCAGAACATTCATTATTGGGTGTATATAAATCATCTTCCTTCTCTGGTTCCCAATTTATTGCTTCATAAACATTTTTTATGCTGTATCTTTCTACAGTCAATTCCCTCAAGTGCATCCTCCTTAAATACACGCACTATGTATACACTCCATAAATGCACGTTCATAAGAAATAGCACTATATTCCTGAGGTGGGTGCATTTAGGAAAGGTTGGCTGTAAGTTGTTTGAAATTTTTAAATTCTACAAATGGTTTTGGTAGGATACCTGATAATTAATTTAATGAATTTCAAGATAATTTTGCAAGTTATTTTGATGCATATCATTTTCACTATCATTATAAAAAAAATTTGACATACAGTTCAATAGACTCATTTTATCATCAATAATTGGAGCTTTCCTTTGCAAATTCTTCATTATTTATTCATTGGTTTTATCGGACATTATTCCCATTATAATCTGATAAATATTTATATTTATATTTATATTTACATTTATTTTTTTTAATGTTAAATTTTTGCAGTTACCTTGTAAATAAAAAAATCTATAATATATAAGATTTGTAATCCGTGAAACATCTGCAAAATTTTGCAGATCACTAATTAAAATTTTCTGGATTGTATATACTTTTAACACATGAATCTCGAAGTTTAAATATACAAATTTTCAAAGGGACTTTCTTATAAAATATTTTATGTTTATATGTAGCATAAAATTTAAAGGTTACTAAAAATATTTATGATGTAAAAGTGGTTGTAGAATTAATTTTATCCAAGAAAAATATAAATATGTTTAAAATAAAATAAAAATTATCGTGGTCATGTAATTTTCTTGACTCTGACACGTATAACCATCCATAATTGTTTTTTCGTATAACAATTTCTATAAGGCAATCCATTAAGGCGAGTATAAAATATACATTAATTACATCTGGCGACCCACAATATCCAACTCCTGTATTGCGCTAGTTAAGCAATTGTGCTTGGCAGCTCTTGCAGTTTGTTGTTTAGAGCAAGGTATTGAGGTTACCCTCTTTATCGAGGACCATCCTATTGGGCTTCCTTATTGTAGCAGACACCTTGATATTTGTCTCTAGTATATTGGGTATATTTTTCCAGCTCCTGTATTGCGCTAGCTAAGTAGTTATGATTGGCAGCTCTTGCAGCTTGTTGTTTAGTATAGGGAACTGTAGAGGATGCCCTTTTTGTCGCGGTTTATTGACCTCCTCACTGAGCAAATTCCTCCATCTTTTTACCAGAAAACATTATGCCAAGCCAGTTATTTCTTTTTATTATATAATAGTTTACATTTTATCATTAATGAATTTGTTCAACTTTATACATAGGAATGGATCTACAGCAACATATAAAACATTATCTTGATAACAATGAATTTGCGAAATGGAATCTCTTAGGACTTTTACAATATTTGGCGACTATTATTATATATACAAATGAAGATGTAGATGATATTATTTTAGTATTCAAAGATCAATTGAAACTGCTAAGTGGACTTCAAAATCTAACAAAGTCAGCACGAAACAAGGCAATTAAGCTTTCTGATAACTTGGAAGCACATCGAAAATGACCTGAAATAAAACAATTTTTAATCAACCTGGATGTTAAGTTTGCACAGGTTTGTTAAAATTATTTATTGTTTGCTTTAATAAAATACTAACTTGGGAATTTTTAATATATATATGATCATTATAAACAAATGTAAGAAAAAGTATTCTAACAGACAAAACAACAGCAGTTGTAACAAGTAGTGAAGAATTCGCAAAAGTAAGCATGTCACTAACTGTTGAAAGTGGACAAATTTAATATTCGATGATTATGCGATTCTGTCAGATTAATTTGAAACCACATTAGATTGTCAGAAAAAATTTTCCACATCAAAAGATGATATATCGAACCAAAATGTGGGTATTCTTTCTTTTCTTTATCATTATCCATGTCAACCAAATGCTTTGCAACATTAACAAATATCTGAACTTATGAATTTATTTAATATACTTATTCAGGAAATAAATGGGAATAATAAATATTTATATACACCAGGGTTGGCAAATTGACTGGTCCATTGAAAACAGATGGATTTTGGACTGGTCCATTGCCATTAATAAAATACTAAATATGGTTAAAGTGTTACACTAATGGACCCAATGGACCACCAATAGACCATCAATGGACCACACATTTGCCAACCCTGATATACACATAAAAAGGTAATAAAGCTCTTCATGAGAGCTAGATGACTTATTGACAACTTATTTGGTTTGGAAGATGACGTGAACTTATTAAATCATTTGGCTTGCAAGCTGGTTCATGCAGAGCTTTTTTTAAGTCAAAAAGACATTATAGACTTTATTTTCATGCATATCTTTTTGTATTCAGTTGAAAAATCTATCAGGTAACCCGATTGAAATTGGAAATGAAGAAGGTGATGATGATCAAAAAGAAAATGATATGGTAATTTTATTTAATTTCATTAAAACACATACTTTGATTGAATTTCTAGGTACGGTCGAACCTTGTTATAACGAAGTTTGGCTGTATTTAATAAATAATTGTGCAAAAAAATTATATTTGTTGTTAAAGTAATTAGTGATGTTTTGTTCTAGTCCAAAAAACTTTTAACTCAAATGCTTTTACTATACTATTTTTTAGCATAAAGGCATTTTCTCTAGGACCTTCCAATCCTCTTCTCAACATTACATCTATTGAAAGACTTCATCTTAATTCTTTTGTTCATCCATGGTTGGAATCCACTTTATGGAATGTTGCGCGTGTAAATTATGAATTTCACCAAATTCATTTCCACAGTAATTTAAAACGTGAATATGCATATGGTATTGGAAGGATGGCGGGACCAGATAAATACCAATTAGTATATGTCGAAGGATCCAAGCCAGATGCAAAAGATGAAAAGAAATGGCGACTTTGAAAAAATGACTAGAAACTTGAAGCAGATGTTTCAAAACATCATGAAGGATATTGTGAAGAATAGACGGTGACCTCCAGTCCAAATGGCTGTATTTGGTGGGCAGTCCTTCAGACTCAGAATACATCTTTTTTATCTCAATTATTGTTGCGGTATATTGCATCAAAAATATTTCACGTTTTTTGACATTGATGTGTGAGTTTCTCATAAACAATATTGTTGTGATTTTAGGTAGGCATTGTCTAAACAAAATTGATAACACAAACCTTCCCCGAGATTTCACTGAAACGGAGGACTTTGTTTTGTTTTATGAGTGCATTTTAAAATGGGCAGTATGTATCAATGATTTATTTATTTTTATTTTTATTATTTTTATGTAATATTTTTCTTACACGTTCTAAAAAATTTGCTACTAAACTAATTTTAAATTCTACTATCTAAATATAAATTCAGTTACTGATTTTTAATATGACAGAAGAATTCAAAGATGCAAGAGGTCAAAAACGGTCATCAAGGAATTCATATGGAAAAAGCATGCGTTTACTTGATGATCTGAATCTTGACTTGTTTTTTCTTCTTATTTGGAAATATTGATTAAGTGGGTAATTTCATTTGGTTATATATATTAGACTGACTTTTTTTGGAGTAGGTTTTTGTATATTTTTAATGTTGTTGTTTTTAATACATTTCTTTAAAGAGGAGTCGATTTCATTATTTTCTTTTCTATCAAATACTTGATTAACTGGACTAGAGAGTATAAGATTTTTCGATTCGAATTATTGTTATTTAATTCGAGTGCTTGAATTATATTGAATAAAAGTTTATTCAACTCATTATGAATTTGAATTAAGAAATTGGCATTATTATTCTATTACTATTACGAATAGACAATAGACACAAATTTTGAACACTGCACTCGTTTCATGTTCACTTTGTCTGGTTTTGTTGCAGTATGCTCCATACGTCGGTATCACAAAAATTTTTACTGTATCATATTACGTGTAATGTCGAGAGCTCCCAACCCCAAACTGAATGACATTATTTTGGGTACCCCCAGGGCAGAGGTGAAGGGTAAATTGTATGAAAAAATGGCAAATGATATTTGTAGGTTTGCTTTGATCTTATTATATGTGACACTTTTATTGATCTTTTCAGTAATTTTTACTAATAAAAGAATTGACAACCTCAAAAGACATTGTAATGGATTGTGATAGAGCAGTCAAAAAGGGAAAATATTAGAGCACAGTAAGTCTTGATATAAACTCTTATGAAAAATAATGATTTGGTAGGTAATTAACACATGTTTGCAATTATAGATCAATTGAATCTCGTTTTATAGACCTTACCAATTGGACAGAGCTGGAGTGATATTAAAACTTGAAGACAAAGTTGCATTAATGAAATAGTTTAATAAAAAATTGTGTATGGAACAAATAGATAAAAGGCTTTGGATTTTATTGTTAACCCATCAAATAACTTGGTAATAAATAATGTTTATATTTGTAAAGGTATATTGTGATGCAATATGATTAGCAAGTAAATATTTCTTATATTACAGAGGATTTTGAACGATTTACGATTATTGGTTCTAAAGATGCTATATTTGCATCTGAAATAATTTCTTTCTTGTAAGTTACATAATTTGGGGTGTTGGTTTGATGTTATTCATTAGGTCTCGATGAATGGAATGAATCACCATCACCAAGCATAGTGGACATTCGTTTTATCACATGTGACAAAATCAATCGTTGATCTTTTTTATATTGTGAAACTTTCTATTTCAATTGGGGCATACTGCAACAAAACCAGACAAAGTGAACATTGGTATTACCAATGATTTCAGGGATCAAAATTTAGTTATTATCACAATTAGTTTTATAATGTCTAATTTGTTAAGTGATATATAGAATTATCCCTATATAAAAATAGTTAATATGAAACTCATTTACATCAGATCTACTATGGAACCCAAGAATTATAGCACCATTAGAAGTATTTTGAAGAAAGAACAGGGTGAAAAAATTGCTCCTTACATTTTTAAATTAACAGATACCAAATCTTTGCAAATATATTTAGACAAAGAAAGGATTACCTATGAAATTTATCAAGAGGAAAAAGTTTTCAAAAGAGTATTAGAGAATTCTAGTAAAAAATCAAGAAAAAAAAGAAAACTGACAGAATAAAAAACTAAAACAAATAATTACATTACTGCTAATTTATTTACTTAAAATTCCCCTGATTGTCGATCATGTCAAATTATATCCAATAGAAATCAGTTATTTTGACTTATTTGACTATTTATATATAGTAAATTTTTTTTTATCGAATTTCGTGTAACAAATAAAATTTGGGGTTGTAGATCAATTCAAACCTATTTTGCAAATTAATTTAAAAAATTCTTCATTGCCCAATCACTCATTTTTTTATTAAGTAAACATAACCTGATTTTTTCACCAGTTATAATCCTTATAATATAAATACATATTATGCAAAAAACTCAATTTTGGTCAGGGGGCACTTAAGCAGCTACCTTTTGCTAGAACCCCCCATATATATATATATCAAAAATTAAATAAAAACTAATAACAGATAAAAAGAATAAAAACTAATAAATTATTACCTTTACAGTATTAATATTAATATTAACAGTCATAAACATGTCACCATTCCATAATCTGTAATGCCATCTATATTTTATATAAATAATAGTCAACCCTCTCTAAGTGCATGCTTTCATTCATTCCCAAGCTCAGGGAATTAGAGATAAGTGCACACCCCCTTCCACCTGCACTGCATAGTCTTTTTTCATTCCCATCTATATAAAACTCCCTATCTAAGTGCACTCCCGTGACTTTCACGTGTTCGTTGTCCAATAAAAATTGTGCGCGTTATTAAATTAAAATTTGTTGACAAAAAAAAATAGATAAAGAATTGATTTTTTTGTAAGAGATGATAAAGAATTAAATTATTATTAGTAAAAGGTAAAGAATTAAATTTATTAGTATGACAGAATTATTTGTAAATTAAAATAATATATATTCTTACACATCTCATTAAATACTTTATTTTTTTATTGCTTCTAAATAAAATGCCTCCAAAAAGAGTAACTTTATCTAATTCTCAAAAATATGAATTTTGTTTATTTGCTGGCAATAATAACAAATTACTAGAAAAGAATATGTTGATTGGATTGAACAAAAATGGGGAATTAGAGTATGAAAACAACTATAGCAAGAATCCTGCAAAAAAAAGAAGAAATACTTAATACTGAACTTACTAATCCAGATGCCAAAAGACATAAAATCTAACAGTTCCTGAACTTGAACTTGCCCTTAAGGAGTTTACAGTGTGATTCAAAAAAAATGGTGGTCGCAAAAATATTACATAACTCAACGATTACATAACATAATTAAATAAAAATATATTCATTTGAAAGCTTATAAACTATTTTATTAAATAATAAGAAATTAATAAGAAATTCTATCGCCATTTTTTTCCAAAACTAACTCACATCTTCTTTTCATAGACATAATAATATTTTTAACTGTCTCCTGAGGAATTTTCTCCCATTCTTCTACCATAAATTGTTTCAATTCATCAACATTTCTAGGCATCCTTTTTTCAACATTATTCTTCATAATGTACCATATATTCTCTATTGGATTGAGATCAGGACTGTTGGATGGCCAGTCAATTGTATTAATCTTATTTTCAGCAATGAAATCTTTTGCAACACGCGATGTGTGCTTTGGATCGTTGTCCTGTTGCAAACGCGAGCTTCTACCATACAAACTTTGTGCAGCAGGCAAAAGCTGGGTCTGCAATATGTTGACATAATAAGGCCCATCCATAATATCAGTAAAACAAAATAATGGCGTTTTACCTTTTAACGAAATTCCTCCCCATGCCATTACTTTTTGCCGTGATTTTGGCAATCTGCGAACTGGTCTCTGTCCATCTTTGTGCCATCTACAAATTTTGTTACGAAAAAGATCAAATGCTGTCTCGTCTGTAAATATTGTAGGGCTCCAATTGTCATTCAAATGAGTTTGTGTCCATGCTATTCGGGCTTCAAAGTGACGAGTGGTTAGCATTGGAGTTCCAATAGGGACAGAACTTTTGTAACCTTTTTTTTCATGTGTCGCCAAACAGTAGGTTGCGAAATAGACACATTGTGTGTTACTTGGAGTTTAATTGCAAGTTGGTGTGTTGAAATAGCAGTATTATGGCGAACAACTTGCCCAATGGAACGTGATAGATTTTGTGTAACCTTCGATGGACGACCATTCCCACCTTTATGTTCAATAGATCCGGTTTCTTTTAGTTTTTTTAAGTTGTTCTCAACTGTACGGAGAGGTATGTTTGTTTTTTCATGTATTTCTTTTGGTGAATGGATACCATTCATCCAAAAATGAAAAATAGTCTTACGTTGTGCTTCTAATTTTGCGTTAACCATTCTTTACAAAGCTTGAAGGTTAAAAGGTAAAGAAAAAACAATGTAATAACATATACGAAGACTGATTATCATGTAAACAATCATATCCAATCACATTTATCATATAAGTAAATGAGAACTTTTTTTTTAATAAATTCAAATAAGCAACCACCATTTTTTTTGAATCACACTGTATTTTAATTTATCAAAACAGAGTAATCTTAAGCAATGCTGTTTTAGTTGAAAAAGCCAAGAAAATAGCAAATGGATTGGGAGTACCAGAAGAAACATTATCCTTCTCTTCTGGATGGCTTCATAGATTTAAAAAACGTAATGGAATTCAAGAACGAAAGCTTCAAGGAGAGGTATCACCAGCTGATCTAAGTGCAATTACTGAAGCTTTACCATTATTGAAAAATATGTGTAGTAGTTATCCACCTGAGAGAATATACAATATGGATGAAACAGGTCTTTTTTATAGATTAGAACATTAGCCACAGAAAGACTTTCTGGACGTAAAAAGAATAAAGAAAGACTTTCAATTGCCTTGTGTGCTAATTCAGATGGATCACACAAATTGGATCCATTAATAATCGGAAAATTTAAAAACCACAAAGCTTTAATAATATTAACCTTAATAACTTATCAATGTCATACTGTCATAATACAAAGGCATGGATGTTAACTACTGTTTTCCAAGATTGGTTCCAAGAATTCAACAGAGGGGTTGCTTCAAAATATGGAGACCAACAGGTATTGTTGCTTCTTGATAATTGTCCAAGTCACAAAATAGATGGTTTGGTTCTTTCAAATGTTGATGTCCATTTGCTCCCTCCAAATACCACTTCAAAAATCCAACCAATGGATGCTGGTATCATTATGTCTTTTAAAAGACACTATTGCCATTTACATATCAACTTGATTCTAAATCAAGTTGAAGCAGGCAATGATATAAAAAATTTTAAAAATGGATGTATTACAGACAATAAAATTTATTATTAAAAGTTGGAAGGAAGTGTCATCACAAACCATTTATAATTGCTGGAATCATACTAAAATTCTTCCAGACTGAATTAATTTTTTGGCAAATCTCTCTGATGATATTAATGATCCAACAACAAACCAACTTTCTCAAGCAGTTGCTGCCACTATCTGCATTAATTAATTTTCAATTAATATTGGGTATTTCTTTTATCTTTGTGAAACAGCGAAATCCTTGACTAAACATTAATAAATCACAACACCGAATAAATTCAATCATATATAGTATTTCAATCATTTTCTTCTGAATTAAAACATTTAAAAGAATCCAATCTTTCTAAAACTCGAATAGAAGAACCATTCTTGATGATATATGGTTTACAAGAACGTTCAGGAACATGAATCATATGTTGACCAAAATATATTCTGCCCTATATAGTATTTATTTATAATAAAATCAATCTAATGTTTATCAAAATCAAATCAAATAACAATAATAATAATAAATAATTACATTAAATCTACGATTTAATGCCAAAGTTGAATACGGTTCATTGGACTTTTCTGCAGTTTCTTGATTTATACAAACCATATGACATCTCCTACAAGGTCCGATCATCTATTCAATTAAAACGAGAAAATATTTAATAAACATATATATGTATATATATGTATATATATATATATATAACAATTTTACTTCAAAAACTTGTTCTCCAATACTGATCAATTTCCATCCATCTTCCTCATATTTTTTTGCACCTTTAATTAAAAAGTTACCTCGAAAACAATCAGCTGATATTTCATTTTTCCCGCTATTTCGAATCTTTTCATTTAAATTAATAACACTCGATTTTGAAATCATTAAAAATGGTGATTCATTTGATAATGAAATCGGTGTAGCATTTACACCTACTTCAAGATGTGGTTTAACATGACGATGATACAATGATTTTTTATTTTCATCATTATCAATAATATTAATAATAGGGGGAAATCGAGCCAGTTGACACGAGACACCAAGAAAAGATGTAAACCATTCATTAATTTCTGGATTTTTATATCTAATTGATTGAATCCTATAATATATGTTAATGTTTATATGTTATTAAAAATAAAAACCCATATGTTTACAATTAAAATACACAGAATAATTACCTGTCACCGCAAACTCGCGAATCGCATTTTATAAAATCAATTGGCTCAGGATATTCGTTCAAATCCAATTGTAATGGGAATTTATCTTTCATAATTATAGTAATCATGTTAATAAATAAATGCAAATGATTTCTTTGATTTATATTAAAACAACAAACATGTATTTTTATTTACTTGGTGCATTGATTATCAGTACACCCTTTTCTAATTGAATTGACGGGAGAAGTAACGCCATACGAGGAACTCTACCAATTAAATTTCGTTCAATCTTCATATGATTAATCATTTTTTTTCCTGCTCAAATTCTCTACACAAGAAAAAATCAACTTACTTCTTCTGGCTCAAAGCTTGCCCAGTTTCCGAATCAACCAACATCCATTCACGATCATACAATAATCCTTGAGTTGTTATTGGCCAAGATGTTGACCATGGAACAACAAGCCCGTGACATGATTTAATGGGATCTTTAAAGATGACACAATAAGTATGAAAATTCTAAATCAAGATGTTATTATCAGATAGGAGGATTTTTTAAAAAATTACATACATAAAGTAACAGTTTCTAAAAATAATTGTGAATTTCCATCGTCATCGTCATGATTAAATTTTTTAGTAATTTTCTTAAAACTTTTATTCGTATCTAACGATGTTAAGTTCGATGGTTTATTTTCCACAAAATATTTCTCAAGGAAATCTAACCAACCAAGAATATCATCAATGGTAGACATTGATCCCAATGAAACACGAAGAGATCCCGTTGGTTTTCCATTAAACATATCTTGCTCATCTCCACATGTTTTACCAGCCTTTGTAATCAAAAAATAATAAATACCTTTTAAACAAACGAATGAATAAATAAACAAATGATAAATAATCCAAACCTTATAATTTTCTATTCTATCAATCGTGGTCACATTGATCCATTTAGCCACACTACCAGGATTACAATGTTCACCGGCTCTAATATGTATTCCATTCATGCCGGCCAATCTCTCAACCTCCAAATATCCAACCCATGAACCGTCTGAACGTTTAACATTAAAATTTATAACAGGACCTTGACCAGTATTATCAGAAAAATCTTTTTTATTTGAATAGATAACACAAACCGCTTTGCCATTCGAATGATAGAGAGATTTCATGCTTCTATATAAATATGTGATGAGTGAAGTTACGTGTTTTTTGATAAAATCAAAATTTGTGTAAAGATTTTCCGAAACAGTAAATGCATGATCAAGGGCAACTATATCAAGAAAGTTTATTGTACCGTCTTCAAAACGTTCACTCAATTTCTCCCGAAATATTTGCCATGGCCTGTCATATGCAATTGCTTGAACTATATACATGTACGTTGAAAATAAAAATTTAATTTTTTTAGGAATGAAAAATCACAAACACACGTAAAAATAAAAATAATCCGTTATGCACTTACTAGTACCACCACCAAAATACCGTTTCTTCAAAATTGATGATAATTCAGATTTCACCAGTAAAGCACCTAAGCCTGTTGGAAAGCCAAACATTTTATAAAAGCTCATAACCACAAAATCTGGTGACGAATCTTTATCTTCCAATGATAATAGAGATGATGATACGAAAGATGCGGCATCTAGTAATACTAGGAATTTTGGATCGAGTCTTTTTATTTCTTTAGACCATTTAAATGGAAAACGTTGACCCGAAAAATTACACTGAGCAGGATAAGCAAAAAGATTATATATATTCGTCTGGTTTTCGCCATTATCATCATCACTACCATAGCAAGAAATAGGATCTTGTTGATCTTGGTCAATAAATGACATGGATGTTAAATCATCTTCTGACACAACTTTAACATCATTGATTTGGTGTTCTTCTGCAAATCTTCTTAAACCTATTAAACTGTTATGAGCTTCTCTTAAATATATAAATTTACTTTTTCTTTTTGTCCACGGAAATGCTTCTCCAACTATTTTTATGGCAGCAGTTGTATTTTGTGTAAATATAACTTGATAGTCACCAGGCTTAACATTAAAATGATTTAGAATTCGGGTTCGGACTTTTTCTACCCGTTGAGCAGTAAGTTGTGAACTGGGCGAATTCGAAGAATGCGGATTTCCGTAAATTTTAGTAGAGATATCCTTGGTAAAAGATGTTAATGCACTATTTGCATGAATTGTTGTGCCTGAATGATCAAGGTATATAATACCTGTTTAAATGTTTTTTTAATGTTAGCAAAAATGGCTCAAGAAAAAAAGATCTCTTATTGGCATAATAGAAATACCTTTAAGTTGTTGATATTCAACCTCGCGTATTTGATCGATTTTTCCATTATATCCATAATCGGGAGAAAATTCTTTGATAAAATTGTTTTTTTCAATAATGAAATTTGATGTAAAATTATTATTTGGATTTGGGTTCATTTTATTTTTTATAATTAAAAAACAGCAATATAAATATTACATAATCGGATAAACAGAAAATTTTATTTTAAAAAATGTGCATATAAATAAATTTACAATATAATACAATATTTCAAATTTTTTTTTGATCCAAAATTTTCTTTTTATTTTCCAAGATTTTTTTCAAATTGTTCAGTTTCTTTTGAGCCAGACTATTATTAACACTTTTAGAAGCTTGCTGATAGCACTCAATAGCCTGATTAATATTTTTTTTTGTGCCAACACCTTCTTCATAACATCTGCCTAATTCCATCTGACTAACAACATTACCATTTTCAGCAGAACTCAAAAATAATTCAAAAGCCTTTTGCAAATCTTTTGTTGTACCATAACCTCTTTCATAACATAAGCCCAATAACCATTTACCTTTAAAATTATCATTATCTGCAGATTTTTTTAACCATTCATAAGCTTTTTTTCTATCAATCTTTATCCCAATTCCCCAATAGTAACATCTGCCCAAAAAATATTGACCTATGGAATTACCAGTTTTTGCAGATTTTTCATAATGATTGAAAGCTAATTGTTTGTCTTGCACCGTACCAATAGAATTTTCATAGAAAAATCCTATTATGAAATTAAAATTTGAATCATCACTATAATTTTTTAGTAATGATTTAAAAGTTGATTTGTGTTCTCTCATATGATTATGTAAAAATCCCTTTAGACTGGTTATTATATAGTCATTATCACCTGATAATTCTAATAATTCTATAAAGAATTTTAGTAAATTTCCAAAAAATGTTGAATCAGTATCTGCTATAATTTTTTTATTACTTTCTAAACAGTTGTTTGAAGAATTTGATTTTGTTGGACTTTGTGGAATTTGGTGAAATGTGGTTACAGAAGAAGAAGATGATGACGATGGAGAAGATGGGGAAGATGGAGAAGATGGAGAAGATGATTCAAGTGCTACACCATTAAATGAACTTCTTCTATATTGGGCTGTTAATCGATTTTGAGAAGGATTCAAAGTGTCGTTAAAAGAACTTCTTCTTGAAGAAAACGAAGAAGAGGAAACAGTTCTATTCGTTTTTAATGATCTGCCACTATTATTAACACTATTACTGCTACTACTATTATATTTGTTGATAGTACTATTTCGTTTATCCGATGATTTTATGATGTTAATATTTGGTGGTGTGGTTTTTTTTTTGATAGATTTTTGATTTTCTAATTTTATTGATTTTTTTTGATTAGTACTATTTGAAGAAGAAGATTTTATTCCGTCCCTTATTTTAGAAGTAACATTAATTTGACCTAGTATTTTTTTAACTTCGTTAATGTCAGGTCTTTTATCTGGGTCATCATTCCAACAATTTTTGTAAAGATCTATATAACTTTGTGGTGTTCCTTTTGCTGACGATTCTTGAGTTATTGAAGAAGACAATGAAGGAGAAGACGATGAGTTGTTGTTTGATGGCAAGTAAAGGGTTCTAGATGGAATTTTACCACATGATATTTCCCAAAGTAAAAAGCCTAGACTATAAATATCCAATTTTTTATTATTATTTTCATAACCTTGCGGATCAATATATGTTGTATCACCTTTAATATCTGATATTAAGGATGATCCAAAAATTGAAATTTTGATTTTTCCTTTATTAATAAGTATATTACTATCGGCGTGCTAAATATATATAAAATGAAATTAATACAAGTAATAAATGTGTATGTTATATTTAAATTAATAAATATATAAACCTACAAGTTCTTTATGATTTGTATTTTCTGAATGCAAACAAGCCATTACACTTGTAACTTGTTTTGCAAGATCTAACTTGTCGTTCCAACTTAATGATGAAAAGTTTTTGTTTAAATAATTTCTTAAAGTTCCGCCATCTGCATACTCAATTACTAATAAATATTTATTGGTATTTGACTCTATAAAATATAAATAAATTAAAATGTTAATTTTACTCTTTTCTTCTAATTAATTCGTTCATTAATATTACCTTTGGTTATTCCATAAAATTTTAAGATATTTGAGTGAAAATCCAACTTTTGGCGTAACTTGAGCTAACAACAAAAAAAGGATGAATCACTATTTAATTTATAAATGCATAATTAATTAAGCATAATATTATTATTTATTGTTCTTTCATACCTCATCAATAAAAGAATGTAAAATAGATCTGTTTTCTTGAGAAGTAACATCAATCATCAATTCTTTTAATGTCACAACAACATTCTTTAATTTCCAATCTGCTTTATAAATTTTATTACGCTCTTCCTTTATACTAATTTCTTCAATCTCGTTAAATTGCTCATATTCATATAAATTCAATTGCTTTTCATTTATCAATTCTTCAAACAAACTCGAAGGAAATTTTGCAATAGTCGTGTTGGCCATCATGTTGATCTTGTTGGTTGTTATCAATGGGGTAGTTTGATTTTCTGTAAAAAATCTTTATAAAAAGTTAGACCATTTTATATGTTACACGGGAATGATATCAATTTGAATATGAATATCCGCCAGATTGACGGATAGCTTTTTTTAATATTAATATTAATATTAAAAAGTCTTCATTTACGAATGGTTATCATTTATATAAAGAATTATTATCTTTACGACCATTTTGTTTCCTTTTTTGGATTGCGACATCGTTGTATGTATGTATATTACAATGATGCAGGAAGAATAATTGTCATGTGAAGTTTTTACAAATGTAATTTCTAATTAAAATAAAAAAAAGCCTCTTCTTTTTTACAAATTAGGACTATTACTACATTTCATAAAATGAAAAAAATCGAAACGCGTTTGAATTATCTTTAGTGCCCAAGTTCGAAACACACACAAGTAGGTCAATATTGGTGTGTAGAGCAACTTTTACATACATACGAGCTGTGCTAACTTGATTTTTTTTCGAATTTTGACTTTGGAGCTAACTATGTGTAATAACAATACACAATAATACTATTAATGAAATAAAAATGCGCTCGAGTGCTTGAGTTTGAAATAACATGGGCTGATCAATATTGGTATGTAGAACGACCTTTACATAGCACATAATACAGATTTTGGTACAGATTTTGTAAGTTTTCATTTTGAAGATTTTTAAAATTCTTTTATTGTTGAATCGCAATAAATCAATAACTAGAGTTTGGTGATGATAAAGTTGTTCTTTAAATGATGCAATTTTATACTTGAATTTTTCAAGATTTATATCTAATTCTTTATCAATTAATTCTGTCAAAGAAAAACTTAGATAAACTTGATTGTCAAAAAAAGCCATTATAACATAAATATTACGAGGAAATTGTTTGTTACACGTCGTTCTCCGCAAAATTATTCTCTAAAAAATTTTTTTCCATTTTATTCATTAAAGCACCAAGTCAAATTTTTTTATAATGTCACATCTTGAGCTGTTATCATCGTTATCACAAGAAAGAAGGGAATTTGTATATAAAACCAAAAATGAATTGCATAATAATGCTTTGGCTAATTCTGATGAAGAAAGTAGAAAAGATTATTTTTTTTCATTGGTCCAAAAAAACAAGGAGCTTTCTGAAAATGAAAAAGAATATTGTAAAGAAGAGTTTATTTATGAGTTTGAATTAAACAATGCAACATATAAATGGGGCAAACCAAAAGAATGCAACAGCTGTAAATTGATAAGATATTCTGATAGATTCTGTGAAGGTTGTATTAGTTTACAATTACAGAGTCTTTTCACCACTTGGACTTCTGGAAATAACATAATTGATGATTTTATTCAACAGTGTCAAATGAAATCATCTCTGCCAAACTATATTTTAGAATGGATACCTTTTGAGCAATTTTATGATATAACAAAGTTGGCAGAAGGTGGATTTAGTTCAATTTATTCTGCTACATGGACAAGAGGACAAATAAACGATTATGACGAAAATAAAAAGGAATTTAGTTATTTAGAAGATCAACTAGTAGTATTAAAAAGTTTAAATGATTCAAGTAATCCAGGAAAAAGCTTTTTTAATGAGGTTGGTAGTTGTCATTTAAAATAAACAATGCTGTATTATATAACACTAATTGATTTTATATTCAATAGGCAATAAATTATTGTAAAATTAAAGCACCACTGATTGTTCCTTGCTCTGGTATAACCAAATTCCCAAATAATGGAAATTATGCAATAGTTTTAAATTATCTAAAAGGAAATTTAAGAGATCATCTGCAAAAAAATCATTTAAATTTAACATTAAAAGATAGAATTACAATCTTTCATTATTTATGTTATGCATTAGATAATATGCATGAAAAAGATTTAATCCATTGTGATTTACATAGTGGTAATATACTTGTGCAAGCAGGTGGTTGTTATATTACAGATTTAGGATTATGTGGACCAGTTGATGAAAAGTCATCAAATAAAGTCTATGGAATTATATCATATGTTGCACCCGAGCTACTTAGAGGCGAAAAGAACACAAAAGAATCTGATATTTATAGTGTTGGGATGTTAATGTGGGAAATATTTGCGGGTCACCCACCATTTGACAATAGAGCTCATAATCATTGTTTAATTTTTGATATATGTGAAGAAGGTTTACGACCACCAATATTACCTGAAATGCCTGATGATTATGCACAGATGACGCAGAGGTGTTGGGACGTGGATCCAACAAAAAGACCAACTAGTGGAGAGCTTTATGATTTTGCTGAAAACAAACGTAATGAAGTTTTTAAAAATAATAATACTAGTAATAGTAGTAGTGATAATAGTAATAATACTAGTGGTGGTAGTAGTGTTTCGCAACAAGTACACAAACCACATCCAGATGCATATCATAAAAGTAGAATATTAGATGAAGAGATTGCTAAATCTAAAAGCTTAAAACTTTATACAAGTAATGATAGTTCGTTAAATAGTCTTGATTTTAACTCTTTTCTCTAAAACGATGATTTTAACAAAGGTGAATAAAAATCCATTATTAATTAATTGGAAATAATATCCATTAATTATTACTAACGATACTTATTTGATTGATTAATAAACACTAGATTCTAGTAATTAAGAGAAAGAATCAATGGGTGACTAATTTAATCTCCACTATAAATTTATTATTTATCTTTTTATTTTTTTATTTTATTTCTTAAAGTTAAATCATAATAATATTTTGAAATAATAAACTTTTTACAGTTTCTGATTCTTGTTAAATGGTAATATTGCCGATTACAGCTTAATTTTTGGACTACTCTTGTCAGTTAATTGCAAGCAACTCATAATAATTCGGTGCTTGACAATTAACTGGTTTACGAATTTACTTTGGTTCTCGCTTGTTGCCTCTTCCTTGTTTGTAAGTACACTTAATGGTGCCGGATAACTCTAAATGAATAAAACGACTTTTTTACAAAGCTCAAAGGCTTCTATAAAGTTCCTTTTATTCGCTTGTGACCAATTATTTCAGTTTATCTGTCGATTTGGTTTATTTACAAACATTTAGGCAGCTTGTTAACGGCCTTGCGTTTACTATTACAATAACACTACTGGTGACCTTTGGACAATACTTCACTAACACCCACTAGTTAACCAACGTTAGCACTAAACCCTTGTTTACCCACTAAGGCAAAAAACTTGGCTTTTTACCAAGACACTCATTCCACTTGTTGTTTTTATCAAAGCGCTTTAAGCAATGATTTTGAGGGTTTTAGTTTATTGGAATGTTAATTGTGCATTGATTTATTATTCAATTTCGTAGAAATGAAACCGAGTTTTATAGGTCGCAAAATTTTAAATTAAAAATAATAGAACTACTAATTTGTTTTTATCTTTATCTAGTTGGATATTAGATTTTTTTAAAACACAAAAAGATCAAGAATTCTATTTTATATGAAAATAGAGAAATCGTATACAATAAGAGAGCTTTCGATAAAAGGAAACGAAAATATTTCTTTACATGGTAATTAAACAAATTATAAATATAAATCTTCCGCTTGAGTAATAATAATGGTAAAATTAGTTGATAAAGTTTTTTTTATATATAACAAGCACCTTCTTCAATTAAAAACGACTTTAGGTTAAACAAAGTAAATGTATGGCAAGGATTGTATGTTTTATATACAGCTATTAATTATATTTGCATAACTATAAACCATTAGGTTTCTTTTATCTTACTAACTTAGATCACTCAAAAAAACCAAAAATTGTAAAACTTTTCATAGGAGAGAGCAAGCCTCTTTTCAATTGAAACGACTTTAGGTTAGGTGTCTTGAGGATTATATATAACCATCAATAATTTTAAATGCTTTAACAATAAAGTAATTTAATCAATCAATATCAGCATAATGGACACTCATTTTGTGCAACAGTCATTTGTATAATAGGCAGGCAGTTACACAGAGCCCGTTGCTTCTGAAACTTCACTAGAATATAGCTGTAGCCTCTCTAAGTCCAGATCATCAGCAAGATCAAAATTATCTCACACTTTTATAATCAAACTTTTGCAAGAACTTTCACCATAACATATGTTATGTTGATCATTTTTTTGTGATCTGCAACAGTGTCCACTATGCTATCGAAGTTATTAGTAATATGCATTAGGTGTGACATATCCAGTGACCGTTATACGATAAAATATATTTAAAAAATAAATGAAACTAAACTATTTACAATTTGCACACTTATTCAATATTAAAAGGGCAATCTAGCGTGGATTGTTGTCGTGAGTTAAAATCAATTTTTTTAAAAGACTTTTCAATAATTTAAAATCATCCTCATTTAATTCTGATTGTTGGTCAAGTAAAATATGGTCTTATATAGTTTTGAAATGTTTATGAAGTCATAAGGAAGTTGGCATTTCTTATGTCATGTTTACAAATAATTATTATTGCAAAACTCATGAATTAACATTAAAGTTATAGAGTAAGTAATTCATAATGACATTCTTCTTTTTTATGATCCTTCAAATACGAATAATATATTGTAACTGCAAAGGATGATGATAGATATGAAGTAAGGTTGACAAATGTATTTATGTTTACAATAATAAATGTAAGCGCGTTCGAATTATTAATAATTGAGCGTGATACTGAATTCTTAATTTGGTAATGATTACCCCAGATCATGATCGTCGGCCGTTATAAAACATGAGAGCCAGGCCGTTATACATTATAAGGTTTTTATATAGTAAAAATTTGGGTTCTGATTCCCAATGCGTTATAGAATGGAGGCCGTTATAGAAAGGGCCGTTATAGAGAGTGTGAACTGTATATTCTGTACCACCAATTATCCTGCAAAAATTTTCAACACTCAATTAACCGGATTATTGGTGAAATTTGTTTGTTCAATAAAAATTGGAACCATAAATAGCAGTTAACTTTCCTCATATAAAATTCATTATAATTATAATGTGCAACATCTAATATAACAA